AAAAAAAAAAAAAAAAAAGGCAGAAAATTTGCATCTGGAAAAAAAAATGTTTTAAATTGTTTCTTTTTCTTTTTAAAAAACCTCTCTAGATACCTGCACTTTAATCAGATAGAAACTCTGGACCCAGAATCATTTCAACATCTGCCAAAGCTTGAAAGGCTGTAAGTTGCATTTTCTTCTTTAACCTTATGTTTTTATTTAAAGATCATCGGTGTCTGGGTTTTGCTCATTTGCTTTATAGAATTTAGGTCATTATCTATTCAAATACCTGAAAACAGTTTTGGTATAAAATTTGTGTTCCTAGAATAATTAACAGTGCAGCAGCTGGGCTTATGGTTTTTTTCTATTTGGAAATGGTGATAAAATGGGGGAAAAAGCATCCTGGAGTAATTATTATTGTTTCCAAATCCATTTATATTAAATAAATGTAATCACTGAAATACGGACCAACGATGGTATATTTTACTTTTTGTACTCTTTTCTACGTGGCTGAGAAATATTTCAAAAAGGTGGTTTGTTATATTATCTCTTTCAACAGATTTTTACATAACAACCGAATTACACATTTAGTTCCAGGGACTTTTAATCATTTGGAATCCATGAAAAGATTGTAAGTATAGTACCTTTTGTGCTACTGTTTCAGCCAAGCCTAATTTCTCCCTCTTATCCATTTACCTGATCTCTTTTCCTAGGGATTTTGAGGTACTTATAACAGAACATACATCATGAAAGGTGTAAATATACAGAGGGTGGATTACATCAGTTAGATTGTAAAACAATTCAGGTATGACTCAGTGAATGTGGTAAAAAATTAATCTTTTCATCAGGACCATGAGGTCAGTAGCCAAAATTAGGAGAAGAGAACTTTTTTTTTTTTTTTTTTAAAAAAAATCTTTTAATTCTTTAAGTTAATTTTTAATACCAAAACCAAAAAACAAACCCATCACTGTTGAGTCGTTTCCAACTCATAGTGACCCTAGAGGACAGAATGGAACCGCCCCATAGAGTTTCCAAGGAGTGCCTGGTGGATTCAAACTACCGCCAACCTTTGGTTAGCAGCCGAGCTCTTAACCACTACACCACCAGGGTTTCCACGGTTAATGCAGTGGTGCATAATTTATTGGTGGAAATAAAATCAGTGTAGAAAGAATCTCTGTACTATATTCCATTCCTTTTATTTTAGGTATGCATATAATTACAATATATTCAATGGACTGAAGTCTAAGCAGTTTTTAAAGACCTTCTATATATATATGTGTGTGTGTATATTTTTTTAACTGAGTAATTTCTTACACTACAATTAAGCCATTTTAGTGCTGATGAAGTTATTTGACATGCTTTTTGTGTTTTTCTTCTGATCTTGAAGGTGGTTATTCTCAATATTTCTAAGTGCTTGTTGTTGCTAGGTGCCATCCAGTTAATTCGGACTCATAGTGACCCAAAGTGTCAGAGCAGAACTGCACCATAGGGTTTTCTTGGCTGTAATCTTTAGAGAAACAAGTCACCAGGGCTTTCTTCCCTGGCGCCGCTGGATGGATTTGAACTGCTAACCTTTCAGTTAGTATCTAGCTCAAAGAGTTTTGCCACTCAGGGCAGACAGGAGGGGTTAATTAGAGACTTGAATATACCGACAACCATTTGTTTCTCTATTTTCAGCCTCTTTCTAGGTGTCTGACAAATTCCCTCCTATAGACTAGTGCAAATCCTTTTTCATTAATACTCTCTTTTCTCTCCTCTATTCGCTCTCTTTATATTGCTCAAACTATAGAACCTGAGATTTGCATTCAATGTTAAGAGTTTGCCAGTGCTAAGTAGAGGAGTGAGCCCTGGTGGTGCAATGGTTAAAGTACTCGGCTACTAATAGAAATGTGTGCTGTTTGAATCCGCCAGCCGCCCCTGGGGAGAAGGATGTGGCAGTCTGCTTCCGTAAATGATTACAGCCTTGGAAACCCTATGGGGCAGTTCTACTCTGTCCTGTAGGGTCGCTATGAGTTGGAATCAACTCGATGGCAATAGGTTTGGTTTTTGGTTTGTTTAAGTAGAGAAGGCTCATTACGTCCCTGCCCCTGTATCTGAAGGAGCTGTTTCTAACCTCATCTCCCAGCATCCCCACATCCTCATGAATCCCACTGCTGCCTTCCTCCCACCCATCCTGTCTCCTCTTGATGACTTGGGGTTCCTGTCTACAGAGATCTCATTGTAGATGTCACTTCAGCCACCAGAGGGAAGAGAGTGGCAGAGTTGGCACGTTTCCTCCCGCTGGCACTCTCAGCCACTGTAAGGCCTGGTGAGATGCCATCTGCCTAATTTTCTCCATCAGTTGCTCCACGATGCCCCTGTAATACTGTCCTGACACTGAGAGGCTCTTTTATGTAGCAGCAGGCTTTGGAGCCAGACGTAACTGGTTCAGATGCTGGGTTCAGCACCACTAGCTGAGTGTCCTTGAGCAGGTAACTTACCTCTCCAGGTCATAGTTTACTCACCTGAGAAATCATGACACATTGGAGTTACCTGTATCCGCACTGAACTTAATAGATTTCTGTTGTACATCCTTGGCAGAGCAATGACAATTTTAGTAGTGGGACCAATTCTGTCTACCGTTCTCCTTATGTCCTAGAGAAACAGAGATAGGAGATGTGACTTCACTCCATCTTCAGTCCCATCTCATTGTGTATTTGGCTGTCCTAGTGTGAACTTAAGGGGCCTTGGTGGCACAGTGCTAAAGCACTCGGCTGCTAACCAAATGGTCAGCAGTTTGAACCCACTAGCCGCTCTGTGGGAAAAAGATGTGACAGTCTGCTTCTGTAAAGATTTACAGCCTTGGAAACCCTATGGGGCAGTGCTTCTCCATCCTACGGGGTCGCTATGAGTTGGAATTGACTCAACAGCAGTGGGTAGAGGTAGAGGTAATAAGAACTTGGAAGTCCCCGGATGGTGCAAAAGCTTAAGCGCTGGGCTACTAACCCAAGGGTTGGCAGTTCTAACGCACCCAGAGACGCCTTGGAAGAAATGTCTGGTGATCTGCTTCTGAAAGGTCACAGTCATGAAAACCCTACAGAGCACATCTCTACTCTGCACACATATCTGGAATCGACTCCAGGGCAACTGGTCGTGGAGGTGGTAGTGTGAACTCAGTGACTGGAAATAGCCACAGCTTAAATTCTGGCTCTGTCCCCCTTAGCGCTGTGACCTGGGGTCCATTACTTAACGTCTCTGGATCTCATTTCCCAATCTATAAAATGGAAACAGAGAGTGCCTACCTCCTAGGGGTTTTGATAATGAGTTAGTTCATGTGAAGCTCAGAAGACAGTACTTGTCATATAACAAGTGTCCAGAACAGTTAGCTATCCTCACCACCATTTCTAGCGCCCCTCCACCTCTTACTACTACTACTTCTGGGTTTTGTTCTTGCCTGAAGAAACAGCAGTCTTCTCTAATGGTGGAGGAAAGAACGAAACTGCCTGTTTTACTCACTAGGACAGAATATGTCAGGCTTCAGCATGGCACTTACATCAGAAACATCCAGGGGAATTTTCACTGTATATGATTATTATCTTATGGACTGGCTTTAGAAGTAAACCCCAACCGTAAGATGCCACTCTAATGTAATATTCTACCTTATGTGATGTTTCAGAATTAAGTGAGCTAATATGTAGTAATATAGTTCTTAGGAGATGCTTTGTCATGACTGTTACTACATTATTGATTTTATGAATGGCTCCTGCCTATATCTCATTCATGAAACTTCCCCTAACCCATTCAGTCCATGTTTGTTCCTTGGTTTTGAAGCTAAAACATGTAATAGTTAAATACTCATTAATTATAAACTACCTTATTCCATTTTTTATTAGTGTTATTCAGGTTTTTTTTTTCCCCCCACGCTCTTGGGTTTGTCTTTTTACTGAGATATGTGTCTATGCTTCATTTCTCCCATTAGTCCAAGGTTTCTGAGGGCTGGATAGTGTCTGATACTTCGTTGTATAAAACAGAATCTCCTCCCAATGCCTTAAAGCCAGTAGTTCCCATGGTGTATTTGATGATTCAGATTCTTGTGATTTTTGGACCATGAGGCCCTTGTCTGTCTAGAATGGATGAACATCTACTGTGTTTTTAGCCAAATAACGCATTTGTTTGCTGGACAGCACCCTCCCCACCACGAGGTGCCCTCACAAGCACTGCCGTGCCAATCCTCTTCCACATGTTGCTGTAAAAAAAAAAAAAAAAAATCAGCATAGTGCTTTTATGAAAATACCTCACAGAGGAAGGAGGATGCGGCCGGCAAGCAATCCCAGAAGGCACTTTATTTGGGTAAAAATACGGTACTCATTTCCACTCCTCACTGGCTGCTGCTTCCTTTTCAAAGGCGATTGGACTCAAATGCACTTCACTGTGACTGTGAAATCCTGTGGTTGGCAGATTTGCTGAAGACTTATGCCCAGTCTGGTAATGCCCAAGCAGCAGCTACCTGTGAATATCCTAGGAGAATCCAAGGAAGATCAGTGGCCACGATCACCCCAGAAGAACTCAATTGTGGTGAGTAAGCCCTTGGTGCCTTCCCAGACTGTGGTGCCAGGTGGGGGTCAACTCCACCAGGCATCAGGGTTGACTCTCCTTTTGGGTTTTGGCATTCCTGAGATGATATTAACACGTACAGCTGTCTCTTCAGCCGTCATATGCTGTGTCCTTATCAAAATAAAATCTCTTTGGGGCCTGGATGAGGACATCCTGAGAAGCCTTGCTCTCTAGTATCTGTTGTTGTTGTTAGTTGCCAAGGGGCAGCTCTGACTCATGGCGACCTCACATATAACAGAGCGAAATGTCGCCTGGTACTGTGCCATCTTCATGATCATTGGCATGTTTGCATCCATTGATGTGGCCGCTGTGTATTTTGAATGCCTTCCAACCTAGGGGGCTCCTCTTCCAGCACTATATTGGACAGTACTCTGTTGTGTTCTGTAAGGTTTATTGGTGGCTAATTTTCAGAAGTAGATCACCAGGCCCTTCTTAGTCTGTCTTGGTCTGGAAGCTCTGCTGAAATCTGTCCACCATGGGTGACCCTGCTGGTATTTGAAATACTTGTGGCATACCTTCCAGCATCGTAGCAACACACAAGCCACCACAGTACAGAAAACTGACAGATGGGTCATGGATTTCCTAGTTACGCTGGCTAAAACACAACTTTTCTAAGCCTCACTTTCCTAATCTGTAAATGGGAACAATAATACCTAACTTGGCATGGGTTACAGAGTTACATGGGGTGTGTCTTGTAAGACTTCAATACATGATAGCCACTATAATTAATTATGATCATACCATTGTGGTTAAATTAGGTTGGTAATATATGTATAATGGCGTATCAAAGGGGGCCTTCGATTTCTCCTGTACAGACTGATATGACAAAGAGCACTGGGGGGCCCAGACAGCTTTCTGGACTGATCCGGTCATATTCTTGTAGCATCTATAAGAAACTATTTAGCTATTTGGTAGTTGTCTTAGTCATCTAGTGCTGCTCTAACAGAAATACCACAAGTGGATGGCTTTCACAAAGAGAAATTTATTTTCTCACAGTCTAGTAGGCTAGAAGTCCAAATTCAGGGCATCAGCTCCAGGGGAAGGCTCTCTTTCTCTGTCAGCTCTGGAGGAAGGTCCACGTCATCATCAGTCTTCCCCCAGACTAGGAGCATCTCTGCGCAGGAACCTCGGGTCCAAAGGATGCTCTCTGCTCCTGGTGCTTCTTTCTTGGTTGTATGAGGTCCCCAGTCCTCTGCTTGCTTCCCTTTCATCTCTTGTAAGGTAAAAGGTGGTGCAGGCCACACCCTAGGGAAACTCCCTTTACATTGGATTGGGGATGTGACCTGGGTAAGGATGGTGTTATAATCCCACACTAATCCTCTTTAACATAAAATTACAATCACAAAATGGAGGCCAACCACACAATTCTGGGAATCATGGCCCAGCCAAATTGATATGCACATTTTTGGGGGAATATAATTCAAACCATGACATTCCACCCTTTGGCTGCCCAAAAATCACATCCTTGCAACATGGAAAACATATTCACCCCATCATATCATAGCAAAAGTCATAACTCCAAGTCCAAAATCCAAAAATTCCTCTTCATCTGTGAAATCTAGAATACAAGTTATCTGCTTCCAAAGGTACAATGGCAGAACATGCACAAGCTAGACATTTCCATTACAAATGGGAGAAACTGGTGGGAAAGAAGGAATAAAGGCACCAAGCAAGTCAGCAGAACACATTACATTAGCCCTCAAGGCTTTGAAAATAATCTTCTGTTCTCTGAGACAATTTACACAATAGCTCTGCCCTCCAGACTCTAGGTATTGGCCAAAGTCTCTGGATTCTGAGTGGAGGCCCCTCGGCCCTGGGCTTCAGCTCCGCCTTCCAGGCCCCCTGGGACAGCAACTCTGCTCCCTTGGCTTTAGGCGCACCATTTTCCTAGTCCATCTGAGTGGCAACTCCACCCTTAGAAACCCTTGAGGTAGTGGCCATACCTTTTGAGGCTGAGGCAGCTCAGCTTCTTGTGTCCCTTGTCTCTTCAGCTTGTTTCCTGGTCTCTTAGCCTCTAGGCTCCTTGGGCCTCACGCCCACATCTGCCCTGGTGGGGCAAGTGTTCCAAAGCTGTGTAGCTCCACCGATTAAGTGCCTGGAGGCATCTCACTCTGCCAGGAAGCCTCCAGCCCATAGGCACTCAGCTCTCTCGCTCCGTGGGTTGGCTCCTGCGCCGTCTCCCGCTGGTCTTCTGGTTCTGCTGCTATTGGTTCTCTGCCACTGCCGCTCCTCTGCCACTGTAGGTTCTCTGCTGCTGCTGGTCCTTTGCTGCTGCCGGTCCTTTGCTGCTGCCACTGCTGTATCCATTCCCAGTTTCAAAACTGCTTCCACATTTTATGTATCTGTTAGAGCAGCACCCCACTCTCTGGGTACCAAATTCTGTCTTAGTCATCTAGTGTTGCTCTAACAGAAATACCATGAGTGGATGGCTTTCACAAAGAGAAATTTATTTTCTCACAGTCTAGTAAGCTAGAAGTCCAAATTCAGGGCGTCAGCTCCAGGGGAAGGCTTTCTCTCTCTGTCGGCTCTGGAGGAAGGTCCTCGTCATCATCAATCTTCCCCTGGACTAGAAGCATCTCTGCGCAGGAACCTGGAGTCCACAGGATGCACTCTGCTCCTGGTGCTTCTTTCTTGGTGGTATGAGGTCCCCAATTCTCTGCTTGCTTCCCTTTCCTTTTATCTCTTGTAAGGTAAAACGTGGTGCAGACCACCCCCTAGGGAGACTCCCTTTACGTTGGACTGGGGATGTGACCTGGGTAAGTGTGGTGTTACAATCCCACCCTAATCCTCTTTAACATAAAATTACAATCACAAAATGGAGGCCAGCCACACAATTCTGGGAATCATGGCCCAGCCAAATTGATACGCACATTTCTGGGGGGACATAATTCAAACCATGACAGTAGTCAACTTAGGTTTCATTTTAAGATTCCCCTGCATAATAAGCAAAATGTAATAAAGTGTCACGGCCTCTCCCTCACTCTCCCCCCGATTCCCCCAGTAGCTGCCTGACGGATGATAGAAGTCAGGATAGTGGATACTTCCACGAGTGAGGTCCAGAGGTAGATACTGACTGGGAATGGGCACGATGGAGCCTTGTCGGGAGCTGGAATTGTTCTGTGTCCTGATCTGGGCGGTTACACGGGAATATACCTATGTAAAGTGTTCCACTGAATTGTGTGCTCTAGATTTGTGCACTTTACTGTATGTAACACTTCAATTTAAAACAAAATCAAAAGAAAAGAAACAAAATTAAATCAGGTTGCAATTCCCAAGGAACTGTTCAGCTTTTTCTTTTCTCTTAATCTGCTTTTTCTTTTTTCCTAAAATTAGTCTTTTCGTTCTTTATCCCAAGTATTGTTATTATTTTTTCAATGTTAAAAACATTAATGAAAATTAAAAACCAGTAAATTTCATCCATAATCCCACCAATAATGTGACTACATTTGTCATGTTTGTTTCTATCCCCTTACAAACTTTTATATGCACACTTTTATGTAAATTTGACAGGTTTTAATAATGTTAAATACCTAGAAGTTGCCCTATGATATTGTATGTATCGTGTTACTGTCTGTATAATGATCAGTTTCTGAAGGTTGAAAGTGGTTCTGCTGTTATAAATAATGGTTGCCGCGCTGTGAACATCTTTGGTTACAACACTCTTTCCTTTGGATTCATTTCACAGGTGAAGTCACAGGAGTGAAAGTACTAAGTCAGAGACTGTGAATGTGGATATCCCTAGCTCACCTCCCATGTTTAAACCCATTTATAGTGTTAACCCGCCATGCACGACTGCCTTACCTTCCCTGCACCAATACTGGATCTTCTTCTCTTTTTAATATCACTCTTTCTCAATAAGCCTTTCTTATAATCGCCATAAGCAGTTACAGCCTTCTTTGTTTTACCTCTTAAAGCTCTCAGCTGCAGACCAAAAGGTCGGCGGTTTGAACCCTTCAGCTGCTCCGCGGGAGAAAGACGTGGCATTCTGCTTCCGTAAAGATTTACAGCCTTGGAAACCCTATAGGGTTGCTATGAGTTGGAATCGACTTGAGAGCGGTGGGTTTGGTTGATTTGGTTTGTTTCATCTCAGCTCTCACTTGATCAATGGAAAGCAAAGGGAAAAGGTGCTTTGCTTTTTCTGTCGAACATCATAGCCATACAGTTAGCTGGAGTGCCCAGCAGGACCAAAGTTCCCAGAACAAGTTTTTCCATGCTCTTACTGTTCCTGTGACTCCTTGGTTGCTATCCTTCTTGTCACCTCTGCTTCATTTGCCACCTGGTTTGCCTCTTTCTGGTGAATGGGCATGTGTATGGAGTTTTCATAAGCAGCTCTTTGCCCAGAGGTTTCCCTGAATTGAACATTCTAAAGAGGACCAGATGGAAAACTAAGATGAAAGGATCATTTAAAATGCCAAAAAGATGAGCGTGTACCTCCCTAGGCAAAAGATGTGACCAGCCAACAGCTGAGTTCCTGGTTCACTTAGGGCACCTTATGAGGCAGGGAGTGTTTTTTGTCTCTTTTCTTCTTTTATTGTGATGAAAATACACACAACAAAACATACACCGATTCAACAGTTTCTCCATGTATAATTCAGTGACACTGATTACATTCTTCAGTTTGTGAAACCATTCTTGCTATCCTTTTCCAAATTATTGCACCACCATTAACATAAACCCAATGCCCCCTAAGCAAAAACTCCCCTTTTTCTCCTCCTTGTCACTTCTGGGAACCACTAATATGTTTTGCTTTTTGTATATTTGCTTATATTTTGTAAGTGAGATCATACAATATTTGACCTTTTGCGACTGGCTTGTTTTGCTCAGATAATGTTTTCAAGGTTCATCCATGTTATGGCCTGCATTAGGAGTATTTCTCTTTATGGCTGAGTAATACTCCGTTGTGTGTATGTACCACACTTTGTTTACCCATTCATCGGTTGATGGGCCTTTGTTTCTACCTTTTGGCTATTGTGAAGAGCGCTGTAACGAACATCGGTGTACAGGCTTCTGTTGGCGTTCCTGCTTTCACTTCTCCTGAGTATATACCTAGGATTGGGAGTACCGGCTTAGTTAGGGAAATTTGAAATGAAGTCTAATGCGGGAGAAGTAGTAGATCCCAGGGACCCTAGATCTCCGCTTTTTTGGATCTGTTCTCTGTTCCTAGAGAGGCAGTGTAATGTGTGGTGGGAATATCATGGGTGTTTGGGTCACCCAGGCCTGCGTTTGAATTTTGGCTCTGCCTCTGGCTGATCATGTGACCTTGAGCAGAGTGAGCTGGCACATGGGAATGAAGGAAGGAAAGGTAAGCGGAGAGCAGCTCTGGCTTGGTGTCATCACCCCCGCATTATGCTTTATGTAGCTTTTGCTCTCAGAGTTGCTTCTAGCTAAACGTTTTCTATTCTTTTATTCAATAAAAATAGTTATTCACTGAGTGTCCACTATTTCTTAAAGGGTAAATAGATTGTTGTTGTGGTCTGGTGCCATTGAGTCGATTTTCGACTCATAGTGACCCCGTGTAACGAAGTAGAACTGCCCCGTAAGGTTTTCTAAGATCACCGTGGAGCTGCTGGGTGGGTTTGAACCATCAACCTTTTGATTAACAGCCCAGTGCTTAATCTTTGTGCCACCAAACCAAAAAACCAAACCCATTGCCGTCAAGTCGATTCTGACTCATAGTCACCCTGTAGGACACAGTAGAACTACCCCATAGGGTTTCTGAGGCCGTAAATTTCTACAGAAACAGACTGCCTCATCTCTCTCCCTCAGAGTACCTGGTGGGTTTGAACTGCCAACCTGTCAGCTCGCAGCTGCGTGCAGTAACCATTGCGCCACCAGGGCTCCTTTTTGTGCCACCAGGGCTCTTTAAATAGACCGTTGCAGGTAATGATTTGATCCTTGTCTGAAAACATTTCAGTGTTATTAGATGCTTAGAGCGTGGCATCTCTGAGGTATTAAAAAAATGCTGTGTAAAGATTCCTGCCGCAAAACCATCTGTGTAAAGAAGCCAACGCATTGTTTTTGTGAGGGCAATAAAATATTTATGGTTGAGATGTGCTTTTGAACATTTGTGGGTTTCTTGTGAACACAAGGACTTTGGTTTGTGTTCTTGTGTAATTTGACTTGAAGTTTAGAACTAATAAGGTTTCCATTTCATCATTTGACACAGAAAGGCCAAGGATTACGTCAGAGCCCCAGGATGCAGATGTGACCTCCGGGAATACCGTATACTTCACTTGTAGAGCCGAAGGCAATCCCAAACCTGAAATTATTTGGCTTCGAAACAAGTAAGTTGAATGTTGTGCAGAAATGTCATTAGAGTACATTTGGTACATAGTGTTTCTCAAAATATATTCAGGTACTCTATTCGCTTGACAGTGGATTTCACCTCTACCCCCTAGCAGCCTCCTCATCCTCCACCTTGATTCTTTCTTTTCCATGTAGGAAAGTATATAAAGGAAAAAATATATATTTTTTGCATCTCTTCTGCTGGGCTTATTGTTGTTGTTAGTTGCTGTTGAGTTGGCTCCGAGTCATGGCGATTCCACATAGAAACAGAGCGAAACGTTGACCAGTCCTGCGCCATCTTCCCAATGGTTGGTATGCTCAAGTCCATTGTTGTGGCCACTGTGTAGTGCCTTCCATTCTAGGAGGATCATCTTCCAGCAGTATATCGGACAGTATTCTGTTGTGACCCAGAGGGTTTTCGTTTTCTAATTTTTGGAAGTAAACTGTCAGGACTTTCTCAATAGTCTGTCTTAGTCTAGAACGTCCACTGAAACCTGTCCACTATGGGTGACTCTTCTGGTATTTGAAATACCAGTCACATAGCTTCTAGCATCAGAGCAACACACAGTTCACCACAGTATGACCAACTAAAAGACAGGTGGTGGCTTCGGTATCTAAACTGAAATTAAAACCGTTGCCAAGTTGATTCCAACTCATAGTGACCGTATAGGACAGAGTAGAACTGCCCTGTAGGGTTTCCAAGGAGCAGCTGGTGGATTTGAACTGCTGACCTTTGGTTAGCAGCCATAGCTCTTAACCACTGCGCCACCAGGGCTCCAAATTGAACTAAGAGCAGACATTTCTGCTAGTGTTAAAGACATCTGCCAAGTGAATTGGCTTAGGCACAGGGATGTGAATTAGAGTTGAGCAGGCCTCATTTCGTAAAGGATGATGCACTTTCTCCTTGCCAGGGTGCAGTGGTTTGAATTAAAGAGCAGCGTGTTACTTCCGAGGAACCCTGGTGGCACAGTGGTTAAGCTCTTGGCTGCTAACCAAAAGGTCACTGGTTCAAATCCACTAGTTTATCTGAGGGAGAACAGACCTGGCAATCTGCCCCGTAAAGATTATAGCCTTGGAAACGCTGTAGGGCAGTTCTGTTCTGTCCTACAGGGTAGCTATGAGTCAAATCAACTTGAAGGCAGTGGGTTTGGTTTTTGGTTTTGGTTTATGTTACTTCCCACTGCCTGGGGTTAGGAACTGGAAGGAAAGTTAATATACATTCTTCTCTACCCATCCACTTTCCTTCCCGGCAGCAGATTTGCTATGGCCAGAAGTTGCAGGGTTTTGGTCATTGATTTTAGCTGGCACTGAACCTGGAGGACGATGAGCACACCTGACTAGGTGAGGGTGGTATTAGTGAACCTCTGCTGAGGACTGTGCATCTCTAGGGAGACAGGAGTAAGTGGGGGCAGCTGCAGACTTCCTCTGCTAATTCAACAGATATTTACTGAGTTTCTATAGGTGTCTGATTTGTCTCCTGTAGCAAAGATTCCATTTCCTTTCACAAACATTTATGAAGGATCTTTGAAAAGTAAGATATTTTGCCAAGTTCTGGGAGTACATAGATAAGACATTCCCCACACCCCAGCCCCCAGGAGCTCACAGACCACAGAGGGAAGGCCTATAAGCTGACTGTTACGGTGAATGACTATGCCGTGACAGAAGTGTGGCAAAGTGTAGCTAATTGCCCCCCCCACCCCCAGTTAGATTATGGAGCTGAAGGTTGTGTCAGCTAAGATTAGATGAAAAGAAAGGGATAAGAGAGGAGGAAAGGATATTATAGAATGTGCAAGGGAATTGGCCAGGAGAACATGACCCATTTGGGAAGTGGAAGTATACTGGTGTGGGCAAAGGTGTATGGTGGGGAATGCTAGCTTGGGGAGAGATCTGGGGTCAGATCACTAAAGATCTTACATGTTAAATGAAGGGGGCATGTTCAAGCTTAAATTATGAAGCTAACCCTAAAAAGGAATTCTTTAACATAAAATGACCCTCCTATTACTTACCAAATTTATTTACACAAGGATACTGACATGCACATGTTTAGAAACAGAGTTTTACTGTTCATCTCAGCTTTTAGTATTTTCACTTTGAGCCCACAGGCCCTGTCAAGACATGACCGAGCAATGGAGACATCTTGGAAGATTCTGGTTCCAGTTATTTTCACTGCCAGATAGTTCAGACGCTGATTGAGTCATCATTCCTTAGTAGTCGAGGGCCAGACTCAAAGGCAAATCTGGCTGGGTTGTGTGAGTAAAACAGTATTTATAGAAAAGAGGAAAACGAGAATAGTGAGACCAGATATGGAATCAGAAGATATGTTAATATTTACAAAGACAACGGAGATTTGGCGTCGCTCTAGATTTTGTTGTCAGAACTGTGAAGTAACATTGGGGTTGCATCTAATCGTTACGCCGGGGAAAATGTAACACACTGTCCCAGTCTTTAAATATCTTGTTATTGCGGATGGTTCTGAAGTAGATGAGATTTAAAATCCAGACTATTGCACTGGAAGAATTCTGAAGTATTCTGAAGTGTGTATTTAAAAGGTTGTTGTCAGTTGCTGTACAAGCAGCTCTGATTCATGGCAATCCCACATACAACAGAGTGAAATGTTGCCCGGTTCTGTGCGATCTTCAGTATTGTTGGTCTGCTCAAGTCCATTGTTGTGGCCAGTGTGTATTTTGAATGCCTTCCAGCCTAGGGGCTCATCTTTCAGCACTATATTGGACAATATTCTGTTGTGATCCATAGGATTATCACTGTGTAATTTTGGGCTGTAGATTGCCAGGCCTTTTTTCCTAGTCTGTCTTTGTGTAGAAGCTCCACTGAAACCTGTCCACCATGGGTGACCCTGCTGTTATTTGAAATACTGGTAGCACAGCTTCCAGCATCACAACAACATGCACACCACTAAAGTCTGACAAACTGACAGACGGGTGGTGGATTTAAAAGATAGAGGAGTATGAATTTGACTCCAACTGTTCATACCTACATTTTATAAATGAACAAATTGATACTAAGAGTTAAAAATCCCAGAGCCAGATATGACAGAGCTAGGGCCAAAGTCCTGAGACCTGTCTTCCCATGCTGGGGCTCTCTCTACCACCCCAGTATGTCTCAGCTGGCCACCTCACCTGGTAGTTCACTGCGGTTATTGGAAGGAGGCTGGGCTGTACCAGTACGAGTGCCGTTTATGGGGCCTGAGATGATTATTGCTTCTATCCAGAAAAGTTTGTGTAGAAGCAAAAATATTTTCATGATTGGTGACTAAGGCCACCCCAGGCAGAGAAGAGCTTAAGGAAACTTGGTGGGCTATAGGCTATGTGTGGATCACGCATGAAGCTTTTACAAACTATTGGGAAGCACTCTGAAGTTTCTATTAACAGGGCCCATGGGAGATGCATTCAAAAAATGCTTCTTAGTTCAAGCAGATACACAAGACTAAATGGGCGGCTGCCGTTTGGAGGTAGGATGAGAAGGCAGGAAGGGACAGGAGCTGACTGGATGGACAAGGGAAACCCAGGGTGGAAAGGGGGAGTATGCTGTCACATTATAGGGGTTGCAATAACAATATGTGTGTAAATTTTTGTATGAGAAATTAACTTGAGCTGTAAACTTTCACCTAAAGCACAAAAATAATAATAATACACTTCAGAAAAAATGACCAGTTTTGTTTTCCTTCGGTAGGTGTAATCACAATTTCTTGGCTTTGCTGGCTTCTTAGGAGAATAAAGTAGAGTCATTCTCAGCATTGAAGACGATTAATTACATGAACCAAGGGAAACCCCCACCATCCGGTTGATTCCGACTCATAGTGACCCTACAGGACAGAGTAGAACTGCCCCATAGGGTTTCCAAGGCTGTATATCTTTTACAGAAGCAGACTGCCACATCTTTCTCCCTCAGAGTGGCTGGTCGGTTCGAACCACCAACCTTTCGGTTAACAGCTGACCACTTTTATCACTGCGCCAGCAGGGCTTCTGAACTAAGGGAAGTGAGCCTTTATTGCCAAAGTGGCTTTATCTGTCTTGACGATCTAGTAAAAATAAGATCTTTTTTTAGATCTGTCTGTGTTCCCATATTTCCGAGTCATTGCGACCCTATAGGGCATAGTAGAACTGCCCCATAGGGTTTTCAGGGAACACTGGTGTTTTCAAACTGCTGACCTTTTAGGTTAGCAGCTGAACTCGTAACCACTACGCCACCAGGGTTTCTATGAGTCAGAATTGACTCAGCAGCAACGAGTTTGGTTTTATTTTTGTGTTCCCATATGGGAGCCCTGGTGGCCCAGTGGTTAAGTGCTTAGCTGCTAAGCAGAGGATCTGCGGTTCAAACCCACCAGCCACTATGTGGGAGAAAAATGTGACAGTTTGCTTTTGTAAAGATATACAGCCTTGGAAACCCTATGGGGCAGTTCTACTCTGTTTATAGGGTCATTATGAGTTGGAATCAACTCAATGGCAACAGATTTCGGAATGGGGCGCTCCCATGTAGCGCAGTATGTTGGCTTTTCTTATTCTGTTGACACGATTACCGTAAATTGTGATCTTAGCTATCTGTTGAACTTCAGCTGTCCCTTTCTCACGTGTTTTTGAACAAAAGGACCCGTGTACATTCACAGGGGTGTAGGATGGGGGGTTGGGGGCAGAAACAGAGAGATGGAGACTGGTGTGAAGATGTCAGGGGTGGGCTGAGTCACAGGATGCCTTTCTGGCCTGCGAGACAAGGGGAATTGGTAATGTCTGTGTGACGTGGCAGGAGTCCAGCGAGAGGTCATTTTTGTTCAGAGGACTCACCGAAGTCATGTGGAGGATGAAGAGATTGGTGTCCTGGGAATTGCACATCTGGGCAGATGCACCGTCTGTGGCAGCTGGAGCAGTACCACTGGTTTACTGTATATATTTAGGTTGCTTTTAGTAATGTAAAAATAGGTTTCTACTCCTTTCTCTTTAATCAGTTTGCCTCAAACAAAGGAAAATGTTACCTTTGAATTTTTTTTTCTATGTTCATAGTTTTCCCTTTGGAATTATAACTTTAAAACACATAGATCTAGATTGAACACATAAATAATAAAAGTAAATATATGAATTAATCAGAGATGCAAACACATAGGCACTTTTCCTAGAAATGCCAGTGAAGACAGAGGCTATTCAGAAAGAAAGGTGTCCTGAAAAGACAAGGCATAGGCATACTCTGCCCCTCTGCAGTGATCAGCGTACACTCTGGGGCCCTGGAATCCCATTCCTAGTCCCAAAAAACCATTCACTGGGGATTATGTGTTTCCTTGTGCTTTAAAATGTTGAGTCCGTCAGCTTTTTGCCTTTACAGTAATGAGCTGAGCATGAAAACAGATTCCCGTTTAAATTTGTTGGATGATGGAACTCTGATGATTCAAAACACTCAGGAGACCGATGAGGGCATTTACCAGTGCATGGCGAAAAACGTGGCCGGAGAAGTGAAAACACAAGAGGTAACGCTCAGATACTTTGGGTCTCCAGGTACGTTGGTTTCATGGAACGGGCTTCTTCCAGAATTGTCTTTCCTTCCTGTGCATTTGTTTCTTTGCTGTTCACCCCAACTCAGCAAAATAATACCAATTGTTAAAGTCTCAAGTTGAAGTTCCTATTTATGTACCAGGCGTGGCTTACATGGCTTTTGAAGCAGTGTCATGAGTTATTCATTATTAGGCTTGCTCTGTTCCATGGTCAGCCCTAATCCAGGGGACAGACACTCACAAGTCTACGCCGTCAAGGCAGGGGATGCTATGAGAGCAGCCAGTCCAGGGGGACGTGTGGAAGACTGAGGAGACTGCATGGACACCCGCTGACCCCCTACCTGAAGGAGGCAGCAGCTCAGCCACAGCCTTTTGTTGCCATTTGGTGATGGGGATCTCTATTTTGCTAGATTCTCTGATTTTTTTTTTAAATAGCCAAAAATCTGGGTTTTTATGCTAAATTTTAAAATATTGGCAATTAATTCATAAAATTTAGAAAGAGCGTCCAAGCCAAGCCAAACGCAGCTGTGGCGGGTAATCAGCCAGCGCCCGCCAGCTCACAACCTTTGCCCTCATCTGTCTGTTTAATCTGGAACCTTTGGTCTGAAGAGGAGCAGGCCCTAGGAGAAGTGTGGAATGGAGCAGTCTAGATCCATCACTGCTGCTGGAAAAACAGTGCGAGTCGCTCTCCCAGCTCTCCGTGGGTCTGCGGGTCATTCCCGGGTGTGTAGGCCAGCAGAGTCCAAGTCATTCTTTGAGGCCAAGTGCAGTTGTAGCTTCTGTGCAGCTTTCTTCTCTGCCCTTGACTTCATCTACTGTGTAATAAATCATTCTCCGCTCTGCGTTTCCTTTGTATTTTATATGTTAGGCCATTACAAAACCTACCAGATGGCATTATAAGTAGTTTTGTGGCATTTTTTTGTTTGTTTGTTTAAATTTTTACCTCCTTAAAGACTAGTCTTAGTTTTGTATTGGAGCCCTGGTGGCACAGTGGTTAAGAGCTGCTAACCAAAGGGTCAACAGTTCAAATCCACCAGCCACTCCTTGGAAACCCTATGGGTCTGTTCTTTCTGTAGGGTTGCTATGAGTCTGAATCAACTCAACGGCACATAACAACAACAACAAGCTTTGTATTGCTTGGTACATCCAAGTATACCAAAAACCAAACCCGTTGCCACTGAGTCAATCCCGACTCATAGTGACCCTATAGGACAGAGTAGAACTGCCCCATAGGGTTTCCAAGGAGTGGCTGGTGGATTCGAACTGCTGACCTTTTGGTTAGCAGCCAAGTTCTTAACCACTGTGCTGCCAGGGCTCCAAGTATAGAGTCAATAAATATTTATTAATGAATGAGAATTCCTAGCTACGAAATTTCAGTTCAGAGGAAAGCAAAAGGAAGATATTGCTGTTGAATCAAAGTTCTTGATTAAGTGTATTTCTACAAGTTTAACGCAAGATATTTAGCATCTTGCAAAGTTGGCTTTTTTTCTGGGTGTTCAGAGTACTATAAACTTATGCAAAGAAAAGACACAGCTCTTTATATAAGGAGATTGTATTCTCTGTGTAACGAATGAAAAAACCCACAAAACAGTGAAGAAAATGATTCAGTACTGTAAGTATATGCTATGGAACAATGGAGAATAATCAAAAAATATTTAGGAGAGTTATGTTAGTAGGTTAATTGGTCTCTGAACAGGAATAGTTAGCATGCCTTCTATGGCTCAAGAGTTCCAAAATTTAACGCCTTTTGATCGGAAATTTCTTTCTTAGGAACAACCAAACCAAAAACCCATTGCTGTCAAGTTGATTCCGACTCATAGCGACCCTATAGGACAGAGTAGAACTGCCCCATAGAGTTTCCAAGAGTGGCTGGTGGATACGAACTGCCAACCTTTTGGTTAGCAGCCGGGCTCTCAACCACTGCGCCACCTTATTTAATTTACTAATCTGAGCATGTTGATATAGGTCTCTAATATACACATCAACTTTCTCCTGCAATCCAGTGTACAGTCACTACAAGGAGAGGGAATCAGCCATTTAGAAACCCAACAACCTAGCCCAGGGGTCGGCAAACTGCACTTTGGGGGTCCAAACTAGCCCTCCCCTTGTTTTTCCAAGACAGCCAAGCTAAGAATGATTTGTACGTTTTTAAGTGGTTGAAAAATTAAGAGTAACATCTTATGACACATAAAATTATACAAAGTTCACTTTTTAGTGTCTGTAACAAGTTTTATTGGAACACGAGCACACTTATTCATTTATGGATTGTCTATGGCTGTTTTTGTGTTATAATGGCAGAGTTGAGTAATGGCAATAACGCCTAAATATATACTGTCTGGCCCTTTACAGAAAAAGTTTGCCAACCCCTGTCATAGACTGTAGTAATATTCTATAGTAATAATAAGAGGGTGACTTGTGAATCTCATGGGTCATAAAGGGTTAAATACACTATGTATTTTGAAGCTCTGTATTGAGGGAATAAAGGTTTGTAGTTTTCATCTTCCTGGTGAATTAAACTCTTTATCATTAACACTTCTACCTTTATTTGAGCCTTAAAGTGAATTTGGTTTAATGCAGAGGAAATACGTTTCTTTGGATTAGTATTTGTCTAGTATATTTTTTCCCACTGTTTTTCTCTGAACCTTTCTGTATCCATACAGTCTGAATGTGTTTTTTATACACAATATAGAGCTAAATTTAAAAAATTCAGACTGACAATCATTTTCTTAAAGTGTGCCCATTTATATGTATTGCAATTACCGATATATTTAGATTTATAAATCTACATCTTATTTTTGGCTCTATGTCCAAAGTTTTCTATGTTTCTTGCTGTGTTTTGGAAAAATTATTTTTTATTTTCCATTTCCCACTACTAGTTTGGAAGTCATATACTCAAATTCTATTATTTTAGTAGTTATCCTAGAAAATTTTGTATGCATTCTTAAATTGCCAAAGTCTAAAGTTACTATCTTTATCTTTCTCCCCCAAACACAATCATCCCTTCTAGTTTACTTGGGTGTTTTTTTTTTTCAACTTATAAAACATTATTGTTATTTTGTTCTCTGAATGTTTGTCTAGATGTAGCCATATACTTAGCGCTTTTTGGCTCTTTATTTTTACCTGCATCTTAGCTCTTCCATTGCAGGTTACCTTCCTTCCGTCTAATGTAGGGTGAAGCAGCAAACCCACGCGGGGATCAGCTTTTAGTTAAGAAAACCTATATGAGATCTAGTTCCCTTTCTATTCAGCATAGTCCCCTGGGTGGGGAGTAGGTGGGAGTTGACTTTATTTCTAGTACTTTCTCATGCTGATGTTATGGCACTTTGGGGACCCAGCTTTACATAGGACTCTGTTTGACGCCTCATCTTGGACAGGTCCTGATCTTTGTCTCTTGTCTTTCATGTCCCTTAAGGCTAGTTAATGCCAAATTTAGAATTACAAGGTTCTGCAGATGCCCTCAAAGCAAATTTTGACTGATACTCTACTTATCTCTGTGAGTAACTTCACAGTCTCTAGTTTGCCCTATTGCTAGCAAGGCTAAAATTAAATGTCATTTATGTATTTTTTATTATTTATTCTACTTAGATATTTGATTAATATGGTTTTAACGTTAACAAATATAAAAACATGAACAATCTCCCTCATGGTAATTTCTCTCATCCACTCAGTTCACATTCCACCCCGCAGCTCCCAAATTACTAATAATGGCTTCCTCATCCTTCTAGAAAAATTTAAAGCACTTGCAAGACAAGTCATTTTCTTAACTTGCCATATCTTAAAAATTTTTCCAGTTTTTCATTTTAATACACAAATTTTTTAAAATAGTTTTCTCTTTTATAGCTGCATAGAATTCCATTATATAGATGTATATATAGGGAATATTTAACATGTCTTTTATCACCCAAGAGTTCTAAAATTTATATAATTTATTTAACTAGTTCTCTTTTGGAGTACATTACATTTTTTCCCAAAACACTTGCTGTCACAAGTCCACATTCCTTTATCCAAAATCCTTTGGGCCAGATGTCAAGTGAAATTAAGAATTTTGAGAAGTTACCTTAGAAGGGTAAAATAGTGCGTTATCCATCTAATAACTTATATTGTCAGCAGAGTCTTGGGTACTCTTTGATAATCAGTATAATAATATTCTATAGCAAACTATATCAATAGTCACAGTAAGTGGAATAAAGAAAGACTCTAAACAGCCTCATGCCAGATCATGTCAAGTTTTGCGAACAAGTAAGTTATGAAAAAACATGTGATTTCTGGATTTCAGAATTGTGGATAAGGGTTGTTGACCTTAAGAAATAATATGGGGGAAAAAATAACCTGTACACATGTCATTTTACATGCATGTAAAAATATCTATGGCATAAATGCCTAGAAGTGTAATAGCTGGGTAAAGGGTCACAGTAATTTTTAGTTTTTATATATATATGGCCACATTACTCTCCAGACTGGCCGTGTCAATATTCGCCTAATAGAGTCCTGTCTTTGCATAAACTCATCCACAAAATCCATTAGTAAATGTATGACTGTTTTCTAGATTCAGTGTTGAAAAATATTACCTCAATATAGTTTTAATTTGCATTTTTCTTTTTGTGCGTGAAACGTAGTGTTTTGTATGCTCTGAATGCCTTTGCCTTTAGAAACAGTGTTTTGGGTCAATAAGAAAAATTGGCAAGATTTCCATAACACATTTAGAATGAACAAATGTTAGACTTTTCAATAGAGTCAAGTAAATATGCAAAGAAAAAAATTTGGCTCTTACCAGTGAATCATAATTGTTTATTGCTTACAGGTTACCTACATTTTGTTTGACATAAGGCAGTGAACCATTTTTATTGTCTGCACAATTCTTTAAAAAAGGAAAGAAAGAAAAGCATACGACTAGATTTTCTGTTAGTTTTGCTAGTTTTGGAGGTAAATTATATAGAGTGAGGAGCCTTAAAATAGAAAAATTCAAGGAAGGAGCTATTGTTAAACTGGTAGACATTAATTCAGATTTTTTAAAAAAAATTGTGACAGCTCGACCCACGTTCGTAATACAGCCACAGAACACAGAAGTGTTGGTTGGGGAAAGTGTCACTTTGGAATGCAGTGCTACAGGTCACCCTCAACCGCGCATCAGCTGGACAAAAGGCGATCGAACACCTTTACCGATTGATCCTCGAGTAAATATCACTCCATCTGGTGGCCTTTATATACAAAACGTCATACAGGAAGACAGTGGGGAGTACACCTGTTTTGCATCCAACAGTATCGATAGCATCCATGCCACAGCTTATATCATTGTACAAGGTAAGTATCAATCAAAGGAAAGACATTTAATTTTTCACAGTGTATCCACATGGCTTGCCCTCTTGTTTTATTTCCACCCACTCTGTAAGCAACCTCTGACCCGATTTCCATCCACATCCTAGTACTCCATGTTCGCTCTCCGTTGCTTTGTTTTTATCAGTAGCACTACCACCATTTGACTTATTAGATATGACTTGGTGATTTTTTTTTTTTGATCAGAAGCTCCATTATTACAGGGTCTTCATTTTTTCCAGTTGATGTATCCCTAGCAACTAAAGCACCTGGCACGTATAAATACTTGCGGAATAAATGAACGTGTGTTTGCACACACATAGACTGAATTAATCAATATGCCTTGTATGCACCTTTGAATGCTTTGCTGGGACAAATTTTTGGACATAAAATGCTGGGAGTATTTTTTTTTAATGTTTTAAAAAGTTTTAAAGACTTCTGCCACGTCATTTTGGACACTTTTTTGGTATCATGCTACGAAAACACCCATAGCTTGAAATTCTTTGTTTTTCTTTGTCTTTGACTTTTAAGTGTCTTTTCCATTCTTACCTTCTCACCAATCCTGTGTTCAGCAGTAAGATGTCCTGTTATAAGTCTGATCCTTTTCTTGTTGCTAATGAGTGTGCTTCCCTAGGGTGAAGAAGACTTGCTAATGTTAGCTTTGATGTGTACCATTTTTTACCTGCTGCTGTTTTTTTGACTTGTGTGTCTTGATGTTTTCACTTCCTGAAGCTCTTCCTCAGTTCACTGTGATCCCTCAAGACAGAACTGTTATCGAGGGCCAGACAGTTGATTTCCAGTGTGAAGCAAAGGGCTATCCACAGCCAGTCATTGCGTGGACTAAAGGAGGTAAAAGATTGCTGATCCTAGGCTTCTTTAATCTCCTCTCCCCTCCTCCCTCCTCTGGGACACAAATACAAGGAACAAATACAGGCTCTGTGTTGAAGCCCACTCTCTGAGTCCCCATATGATCCTGGTTTATTCTTACTTCGCACATGGCTCACGGTGCTCTGTCATGTCTGTCCCTTCCATCTGCCTTACTGTGAGTTACTTGGGAGTCAGACACTGTGTTTTATTTATGCCTGTGCTGGTCGCACACAGCTTACGTATAGCTTAGCATAAGGACATTTAATGAATGTTTGCTGAATGAATTGTTCGCTTACTGGGGGAGGAGCTAGAGTAAATTATTCCATGCTATAGCTCATACTGCCAGACATGCTTTACATGCTCTCAGATAAATTCCTCCTTAATCCCTGAGTTTTTCACCTCCTACCTTTAATTAGGAGCCCTGGTGGCACAGTGGTTAAGAGCTTGGTCAGCAGTTCAAATCCACCAGCCACCCCTTGGAAACCCTACAGGGCAGCTCTACTCTGTCCTCTAGGGTCGCTGTGAGTCAGAATCGGGTTTGGTTTGATTATTATTATTTTTTTTACCTTTAATTAACATGAACAATCAATTGTGTACTGTAGAGGGGAAATAATAACTCAAATAATACCCATGCATTTCAGGGAGTCAGCTTTCTGTAGACAGACGGCACCTGGTGCTTTCGACGGGCATGCTGAGGATCTCCGGAGTGGCCCTTCATGATCAGGGCCAGTATGAATGCCAGGCTGTCAACATCATTGGCTCCCAGAGGGTTGTGGCACATTTGACCGTGCAGCCGAGAGGTACGTGTCCGGGTCATTTGATCATTCCTTTATATTGTACTCAATGGATTTGTTCTGATAACTTCTGACATTAATTTTACTGTTAATTAGAAGGATCTTACCCTTGTCTTTTTGTATTTTTTCACTGTCACTTATACTTGTATTCCTAAAGTGTTTAAAAAGCATTAGATCTCTTTCACTTTAGCTAGTGAAAAGATTTATTATTTTTTTAAGGATGCTTGAACCTAACTCTGATAAGGCCGACTTGTTAAAGTGAAACCAATCAGTTTTTTAGATGGACTTTGGTAATTAATATTACTTTAGAAGAGGGTTGTTTCATAAGTATCTTTTCTAAGATAGCAGAGGGTTTAGTAAAGCAGCTCCTCGAGGTCCAGTTGGGTTTTTCTCCTGTTTGCCGTCTGATGATTTGATTCCTGCTTTTTCTTTGTCCTTTTTGGATGTGCTGTTTGGCTGTTTTATCTAGCGTGTTCTAGAAGACTTTCAGCTGCCTCATATCTTTTTTGATGAAGTCAGGATAAAGAAGATTCAGTACTGTATCCAAGGGCTGACTGCTAAAGCCCAGGTGGCCCCTAGAAATGAGGTGGCCAAGGCTGCTTTATAACCCAGAGCCCATTGTACTGAAAGTCAGACCTGTGAGGTGGGGGGCGGGGAGCGAAGAGTGAGGTGGGATTAAGGTATTTGAATTCCATCCTGGCTCTTTGTTGAGATGTGAAACGCTTTGGGACTTTGAGATAAGGTTCCCCTCTTGTCTCTTATCAACAGATTGCTGAAAACTCAACCTGGCTTTGTTGGCTCTGGGTTTATGAGGTTTGCCATTGTGATTCCTGACTTGATAGGATTTGGGGCAGCTAAAAACACTCGGCTTGTTCAAGGAAAGAACACATCCCGTGGAACTGATTTAAAAAACCACCCAGAACCTTATCATATTTAGCCAAGGTTCTTAACTTCTCAGAAGAGAAAAGACTACTTTTGTCTAACTATGCATCTTCTTCCTCTAATCAAACTCTCTGCAGAATTCATTACGCTCCTCAGCATGTGCTGGGAAACTGTCCCCAGCAGCCATGGCTCCACAGGGTGTGGGTGGTGGGTGGGAGTGGGAGACGAAGGTGTGGGAGGTGCTGGGAGAACTCAGCGAAGGCGGATCTTCAGGCCATGTCAGAGGCACTGGGGCTGTTAGCTCATGAACGGGGAAGAGTTAGTGTTGACTGTGCTCTTCAAACACTGGAGCTCATGTTGCGAGGGGGTTGGGTTATAGGGTGAGTAGTTGGGCAGATGATCCCTTGGTCCCTTTTAGCTTAGTCACTCTGTGAAGAAGCAGTTAGATTAGAAAAAGGGCCTGATACCGTGCTGAAGTAGTTCTCAGAGCTATTGATCTGGCCTGATGGAGGGAAAGGGTGCTTTTGCTTTTAGCTTTTTTTTTTTTTGGTATGAGTTTCAAGTTTTCATGGTTTCTTCATATTTATCAGTTGCATGTCCCTTGCCTTCTAGTTACCCCAGTGTTTGCCAGCATTCCGAGTGATATGACAGTGGAAGTTGGCACCAATGTCCAGATTCCATGCAGTTCCCAGGGCGAGCCTGAGCCAGTAATAACATGGAATAAGGTAATAAATCTTGGGTGCTGCATGTCTACAGAGTACAGAAGAGCCATTCAGACTTTACTGCTGCTGTGGGAAGTTTTATTAAGTGAGGGGAGCTAATACCTGCCTGTTTCTTCTACAGATTTTATATACCAGGAAAAAAAAAAGTTCCAATTGTACACTTTGAGTTGAAGAAATTCCAAGGGTATCCTGACTTACAAAAACAAAACAACCAGACTCTGAACATTGCCCTTTTCACATCCTTCTCAGTGACAAAAGCAAAGAAAAACCCGTTATTAGATCCGAGGTCCCATAATCCATAGAGTCAAGAAGGGTTTCATTGTTGTTGTTTTAGTTTTTTATGTTTGTTTTTTATTAAGCCCGATGCAAAAATTCTTAACTTAAAAAATTTAAACAAGTGCTTTAATATGAAATGATCGGAGATGGTTGTGTTTAATGGTTCCCATCACCCACTGAATCAAGTGCAAATTCTGAAGCATGGAGTATAAGGGCCTCTGTGCCTGCCCCCTGCCCACCCACTAGCTTTATCTCCCAGCCTGCCTTACCTCTTAGTCTCTACCAGAACCACGCATGGCTTCCTTTCTGCATACTCTGCTGTGCGTTTGTCCTTGCTCTGCCTGGAACACTCACCTGTTCTTTCTTTGGCTCTGAATCGTCTTTTAAGTCTCAACTCTAGTGTCATCTCTTTCAGGAAGCATTTCACAGGTTGTATTAGAGGCCTTTGCTTCCATTGCCCCTCTTGCATTCTTATTTTATCCTATCCTATGCATTTATCCTATTGAGGTTACCATTTGGGTCCTCCCTTGCCCCTACCACCACCACCACCACCACCACCACTCTCCTGGAAAATTCCTTCCAGTACAGTCTGTCTTATTCCTCTCTGTATCTTTCCCATCCAGCTTTGGCCTCAGCAAAGGGTAAGTGCTTCAGAAAGTTTATTCCACTGAACTGGTGTTGGTCGAATTGTATTAAACTTCACTCTGTTTCTAATTTTGGAGAGATCTGAGCACAACCCCTTAAGACATTTCCATTTGCGAAGGCCTAATCAATGGTATTCCTGCCTCTCTCCCCCTGAAAAAAAAACAAACCCTAATTCTGATTCTGATTGTTACTCTTATTCATTTTGTTCCAGGATGGGGTTCAGGTAACAGAAAGTGGAAAATTCCATATTAACCCCGAGGGATTCTTGACCATCAATGACGTTGGACCCGCGGATGCAGGACGCTATGAGTGTGTGGCCCGGAACACCATTGGCTCTGCCTCAGTTAGTATGGTCCTGAGTGTCAATGGTAAGATTACACGTGCTCCCAGTGTGTCTTATAACTTGCATAAAACATTTAACCTAAATGATACCAGAGACAACTGAAAGAAAATGCACAGCCTTCCAACGTGATGGCAGTTTAATTAGCGGAGAATTTTAAGAATTTTTTAGAAGAGAACACATTCTTAACTTACGAGTGAGGAAACCAAGGGCCTGGAGAGGTGGAGAAGGCTGCCCAGCCTTGTACAGCTCAGTCAGTTACATGGCCAGGCTCACTCTCCCAGGCCCTCGTTCTCTCTGCTCTTCTGAGGTTCTGCAAACCCCTGTGGTCTGTTCACTCAGTAGAGTTTTCCTTGCTCAGTCATTTGGTGGTTTAGTTTAGTGGTCCTTCAAATCCTGTAACGTTTAAGTATATAATTTATAGTCCTCATTTGGCAAAAGTGATACAGTTATTGATGTAAAAAAAAATTCCATGCTCCTCAGCTGTGCTTTTTCTTTATACTGGGTATGGCCATGCACACTGCTGGGGTGTACTAGGTCCTCTAAATAATCATCAGGCGTTCCCTTTCCCTGAGGCCAACCAATAGTCCTAGAATCATGCTGATTCCACTTCCGTGTCGCATTCCCTCTTCCATCCTCTACGCCCCTGCCACTGTCATACGCTAGCTAGGTGCTTGTTGTATTTTGTCCAGGTTACTGCAACAGGCCTCACGCCATTCTAGTATATCTGCGCATTACCTCCAGAGGCATCTTTCTACAAAAATAAATCTCATTACGTGTTACCCTATTGCTCCATGCTTTCTGTTAATACTAGGGTAAAATCCAAACCCTTTAACTTTGCATGAAGTCTTTACAATGTGCCCCAACCCACATGTCACCAATTGCATATTCCATCTCTCCAGCTCTCTCTGTACCCTTAGTTTTAGCCCATGCCTCCTAGAACATCCATGCCCTGTGTGACACTTTGCCTTTGCTCATGCTTCTTCCTATGCTGAAATACCTAACATCACTGGGGGTCTTAGTTTTCTAGTGCTGCTATTCAGAAATACCTTAAGTGGGTGGCTTTAATAAACAGAAATTTATTTTCTCACAGTTTAGGAGGCTAGAAGTCTCAGTTCAGGGTGCCAGCCCCCTCTCTGTTACCTTCCTCTCTCTTTTGACTCTGGAGGAAGGCCCTTGTCTCTTTTCAGCTTGTTTCTTGGTTCCGTGGAGATCTCATGTGACGTGGCATCTGTCTTCCCGTCTGTGCTTGCTTGCTTAGCTGCTTGCTCAATCTGCTCTTTAATATCTCCAAAGAGATTGACTTAAGACACACCCTACATGAACACTGCCGCATTAACGTAACAAAGAAAACCTATTCTCAGGTATAGGGGTTAGGATTTACAACACATATATTTGGGGGACACAATTCAATCCATAACACCAGGTAAGCCCCTTCATGCTCAGCTATCCCCTTTTGTAGAAATCTTCCTAGCTCCCCTAGTGGTAGAGAGAGATGGAGGAGGTCTCTTTTAGATAGAATGGTCAAGGAAGACCTCCTTGAATAAGTAAGTTATGAGAAAATGAAGCCACGTGGAGACTGAGGAGGAACAATCTGGTCAAAGGGAATAGTGCGTATAATGTCCTCAGAACAAGCTGACAGCCAGGGTGGTGAGAGCAATAGCCCTCTGTGAGAGGAACAGTGGTGGGAGATAAGGTTGGAGAGGAAATGGCCAATCTTGTCTGCCTTGCTGGCCATGCTATGGAACTTGATTTGTATTCCAATTATAATTGGAAGTCATTGGACTGTTCTGAGCAGGGGAGTGCTGTAAGTCAATTTATATTTCTAAAGCATTACCTTGACTATGAGTAAAAGGTTGCAAGGGGTTAAGTGTGAAAGAAGAAAATGAGATTGAGATTCTAGTCCAAGTGAGAGAAGTTAGTGGCTTACACCAGCATTGATTGACTGAATTCTGGACATATTACCTAGCAGATCTGACAGGACTGGCTAATGGGTGAACTCTCAGAGGGTGGGAAAGTAGAATCGAGAATCACACTTGGGTTTTTGCCTGAGCTGTTTGGGTGCCATTTATTAGGAGATAGGGATGATTAGGCTAGGAGCCAGTTTAGGGGAAGATGAGAATCACAAGTTCTGTTTGAACACGGTAAGTTTGAAATGCCTGAGTAAGCAGTTGGGTATATGAGTCTGGAGCCCAAGGGAAAGATCAGGGCTGGTGATATAAATCTGAGAATATTAAAACCATGGGATTAAATGAAATCACCTAGGAGGAGGCTGTAGATAGATGAAACCACGATTATTATGCCCTGGAGTTCTCCAGCAAGGGAAGAAAAACCAGCAAAAAGACACCTCAAAATGGGTCAGCAATCAGAATGCAAGAGGAAGCAAAGATTATAATTAATCAAACTCTGTGTACCTGTCGGTCAAAAGAAGAAAGATAGAGCAAGAGTGTGCAAGAGAGACACTGAGACGAAAAAGGAGTCCTGGTGAGGCGGGAGGAAAACCAGAAGGACGTGTATCTCAGAAGTCAAGTGAAGGAAATGTTTCCATAAGGTCATTTTCAACAGAGTGGTGATGATGGAAAAAAAATAACATTAAGCTCATGAAGATGCGCATTGTTGGTGACCTGGCAAGAGCCCATTCAGTAGCTAAGAATTAAAGATTGGTTGGAAGGGAGTTGTTTTACATAGCAAGCTCTTGTTGCATTACAAGCATTAAGTGAAAAATAAATGAGAAGAGGAAAATAGAAATGGGACATTATCTTCAGGGGACTAAAGGGTAAATTGTGTGTGTGTTTAAGATGGAAGCAGTTTAAATGTTAGAAACAGAAGACTGGTTAAGTAAATGATATAATGTCTTGAAAGGGGATTAGTGTGGAGCCATGAAAATGATGATGTAGATCTATGTAAAAAAAGTATCCATGATGTAGTTTTAAATGAAGATAAGCAGGTTATCACATACCATGTATAATAAACCAAAAAAAACCCAAACCCGGTGCTGTCAAGTCAATTCCGACTCATAGCAACCCTATAGGACAGAGTAGAACTGTCCCATGGGGTTTCCAGGGAGTGCCTGGTGGATTCAAACTGCCGACATTTTGGTTAGCAACTGTAGCTCTTAACCACTGCACCACCAGGGTTTCCACCACGTATAATATGATCCCATTTTTATGATTAGGTGGATATATGTGTCTGTATGTGTATATGTATAGACAATTCTGTAAAGATGTATAAAAAAAGTACTATCAAACACTTTTTCCCCCAAGGAACATTGACTGAACAGAGGGTTTTGATGTCCTTTTTTCATATATTTTCAAATTTATTCACTATTTTAATTTTCTTTTCAATGAGCAAGGCCATATTTGTATACTGGCTTCACCACTTACTGACTGTTGGCCCTGGATAGGTTTTGCAAGCCTCTAAATCTTGGCTTTCTCATCTGTAAAAATAAGTACAGTGATAGTAAAACTACATCATAGGATTGTTGTGAGGATTAAATTAATCAGTGGAAAGCCTGGCACATTTGGAAGTAATAAATATTAGGCCAATATTATTACTCTTGCTGCTACTATTGCTACTCCCACTACTTCTTCCATAAATAAGATAAAAAATACTGTTTGGGGGGAATAAAAGAAAGGTGAATTATTTAGCAGGACAGTTACTGTGCCATCCAGTATGGCAGCCACTAGCCACATGTGGCTATTTAAATTTTAATGTAAATTAATTGGAATCAGTTAAAATTTAAAACTGTAGCACTGGCTATAGTTCAACTGCTCAATAGCCACATGTGCAAATATAGAACATTTTCATCACCATAGAGCATTTATTGGACAGCACTGGCTTAGAAGGTAGGTCAAGGGACTGTGACCTTGGGTAGTCATGTACTCTTTCTAAGGCTTAGTTTCCTTATTGTAAAATGTAGATAAAACTAGTTATTAGCTCATATGGCTATTTGGTGTATTAATGTCATGGTAAACACTCATTTGATGTTGGCTATCATCATCATTATTATTATTGCTCTTTGTATTTCTACTACAATTTCATAACCCAACCCAAACCAAACCCAGTGCCGTTGAGTCAATTCCGACTCCTACCAACCCTGCAGGACAGAGCAGAACTGCCTCATAGGGTTTCCAAGGCTGTAAATTTTTACAAAAGCAGACTGCAATATCATTCTCCCACAGAGTGGCTGGTGGGTTCAAACTGCTGACCTTTCGGTTAGCAGCTGAGTGCTTTTTTTTTAGAATTTTTTTTTATTGTACTTTAGATGAATGTTTACGGAGCAAACTAGCAGCTGAGTGCTTTAACCACTGCGCCAACAGGGCTTCTTAACCCAAACGTAAACAAACAAAAATAGCAATGAATTTCTTTCCATTTTGAACACACGCCTTCATACAGTTGCACTATATTATTTAAGGCAGAGCTAGGTTGTGCTTTGATAATACACAAAACCATAAAAATCTCAATGGCTTAACACATCAAAGGCTTGCTTCTCACTCATGCAATATGGCCAACATGGGGCAAAGCAACTCTGTCTTCATGGTCACTCAGGGATCCAGAGATGGATCTAGCAATGGAGGACCCACCACTGTGATGGGAGACCTTAGAGTTTGCTGCAGTGAGGGAAGAGAGTGCTGGGGGGGGGGGTCTTGTGCTGGAAATGAAGAGCTTTGACCTAGAAGTGAAAGAGCAATTCTGCTCACAGCCCATTGGCCAGAACTAGTCACATGGCCCTGCCCAGCTGAATGTTGTTAGGTGCCTTTGAATTGATTCTAACTAATGGAGCTGAGAAATGTAGGCGAGTACATGGAATATTTGGCAAGCATTACTGTCTCCCTCCATCCGCAATATGATTCTGGTCCCGAGCATGCAGGCACATTTCAAGGGGAAGAAGTCAGATGGGAAATTGCTGTCATGATCTCAGGGTGAAGGGAAGGAGGCCTGGCCTAGCGTGTTTGCAGTGGGATGGGGCAAGCAGGTCAATGAGGGTATGTCCTGAAGAAAGAATAGACTTGTTTGGTGGCTAATTGATGGAAAGGAAAAACAGTAACTCCAAAATCTTCTGCTTCCGTGACCGAGACCGAAGAGAATGAAACCTTTGCTTTCATTTTCACTACATTTATCTTGTAGCTCCAGAGCTTTGGAGCCAAGAACACTGGTAGCATCAGAGAATTTGTGGGTAACGGGCAAAACAAGCTTGCTTCTCATGCCTTTGGGCCAGCAGCTGAGAGTTCCTGGTTCAGATACAGGCTGTTTAGACAGCAGTAGCCTATGAGTTGGTGGAGGGGAGAAATAGAGGAAGAAAAGCCAAAATGCACCTGAAGTTAGACCACCACCACTGACTGCCCTCTGTTCACTCGTCTTGCCGCCCAGGTTGGCCTGAGCTAATACCACCCGTTAGGCTGTCATGCTTTGGTATAAGAACTTCGGTGTTTTATGTTACACCTACTTTTCCCCTGTCTTTTTACAGGGTGACACATGATTTCAAAAATTAAAAAGTCTGTAATTTCCATACCATCTAAAAATAGCTTCCAGTAGAATTTGTGATAAAATAGTTGAAGCTTTGGTTTGAAAAATAGAAATAATATTTGGAGAAAAGCGTGCCATCAGTCTAAATGATGTAGTGTCTAGACATTATTTAATGAATAACTTATAGTTTTTTTTTTTCCCTGGTAATATGCAACTTCGTGTTTTCCTAGTTCCTGACGTCAGTCGAACTGGAGATCCATTTGTAGCCACATCAATTGTTGAAGCAATCGCAACTGTTGACAGAGCTATCAATTCAACCCGCACACATTTGTTTGACAGGTATTGTGGAGATTAAACAGAATTCTTACCCTCAAATTCCTGTGCTTAAGGATCTTAAAAAATGCATGCAATTCTAGTATACAAAATTTTGACCTCTATTATATCTGAAGAACAAACTGTTTTCATTTAAAAATCGCAAACAACACGGGCATCTGACTATTTTCTGGGGGTTAAGATAACAGAAGGACATCTATTTTCCAAATAGAAGCTGAACTATGACTCACAAATTAAAAAAAAAAGTTAGCTCATTTACTTGGCTTGTTACTATAAACGATTTGGCAAAAACAAAAATATTTTGAAAGCCGTTTGTGTGTTTAGCTCCTGTTAGCAGTTCCAAAGTGTTCTTCTCCATTTTAATGAAAATCGAATACCTGTGTTTTTCTCTGTTGATGTGATTATTTTTAGTGTCTTTTGGTTTTTGTCTGTTTTTGTTTTGCTGCCTTCCGCTTTGGATAAGTAAGGTACAGTATGTCACCATATCACCTCTGTGTAAAGGTAGCTACAGAAATATCAAATAGCAAGAATTATATTTTTGGACATTAGTGATCTCCATCTTCGGTAATGTTTTTTAATTTGATTTGTATTTTTGTCTTTTTTTCCTTCCTGAACTCCTGGTAGTCGTCCTCGCTCTCCGAATGACTTGCTGGCCTTGTTCCGGTATCCAAGAGATCCTTACACTGTCGAACAAGCAAGAGCAGGAGAAATATTTGAAAGGACTTTGCAACTTATTCAGGACCATGTGCAGCATGGCTTAATGGTTGACTTAAATGGAACAAGTTAGTATTTCTTATTTTTTTTTACTTGCCTCCTTTTTAGTTGTGGGAGCAGCAAGATGCAATAACTTATCCTTCACTTTAGAAGGAATGTCTCGACATGCCCCACACCACTGGACCCCTAGAAATTTCACTGAAGTGGAAGGTGCCTGAATTTTTGTGGAATTAATCTCCCGCCCTCTAGCACACAAGTGTTTTACCAGTAAGTCCAGAGTCATTGACACTTCTTCCTTACCAAGTCCAGGACTAGAAGGCAGGAGGGGACAGGAAATCTGGTAGTAGGGAACCCAAGGTCAAGAAGGGAGAGTGTTGACATGTTGTGGGGTTGGAACCAATGTCACAAAACAGTACGTGTACTAATTGTTTAATGAGAATGTAGTTTGTTCTGTAAACCTTCATCTAAAGTATAATAATAAAAAAATTTAAAAAAAAACAAAAAACAAGTGGGTTACTGACTGAGATCTAGAAAAAAATCTCTGCCCTCAAAGATCTAACATTCCAGTGGGGGAGACAGACAACACACAATAAATCAATATTTATAATTACCACATGGTAAGTGATATGGTTAAAAATAAGAAGCACAAGTGTATATGGAATGCTGGTTGGGATGCGGGTTACCATTGTATATAAGTTGGTCAACAGATGTCTCACTGAAAAGATGACTTTTGAGCCAAGACCTGACAAAAGCAAGCCGTGCAGATATCAGAGGGAAAAGTATTCCAGGCAGAAGGAACAGCAAAGGCTCTGAGGTGGGCTCATGTTTGGCATTTGAGGACCAACTAGCAGGAAGTGTGGCTGGAACAGAGCTAACGAAAAGGAAGGGTAGTTGAATCATAGGAGATGAGGACAGAGGGATCTGAATGTGCCCAAACACTAAGGGCCTGGTGGGTGATTACAAGGATTTTGTCTTTTGCTCTCCATGAGATGGGGAGCTACAAGAGGATTTTGTGCAGAGCAGTAACATCATTTGACTGGTATTTTAAAGTATCAGGTTGTTGTATGACAAGACTGGAAAGGGATGTAGGCAGATGCAGGAAAACTAGGGTAGGTCAAGGAAATAATCTAAGAGATGATGAATGCCCGCACCAGGCTTATATGGTGAAAAGTGGTTGCAAATTCTAGATGTAATTTGAAAGTAGAAGGGACAAGATTTTCTCATAGCTTGAATATAGGTGTTAAGAGAGAGGAGTCAAAAATGACTTGGGATTTGCATGAGCAGTTGGAAGAATGGAGTTGACACTTAATGAAATGGGGGAAGATTAAGCACAGGTATAGCTTAAGAGTGGGATGGGATTATCTCACACACACGCATTTATCTCTAGGCACACGTGTATACTGATTCTATACTGAGATGAAATAACTCTGTTTAATAATACAATTTAAAAGTTTTTCACTGTAGTTCGTCATGGACATTTTTCTGTGTCATAATTAATTGTTTAGCCCATTCCCTTATTTTTAGATATGTATTTTTTCCTCACATTTCAATATTTTTAACCATTATTCATTGTCTGTATTTGAGATAGCTTGTATTTTAAAGCAGATTACGTTTAGAGTGAATAACAGTGGTCTGAAATGGTCAGTGACGTTTTCAAAATTCCTAAGGAAAGGCTCATTTTCTTACAAGTTACTTACACACAGCGGATGGTCGGCCTTCCTAATTGTATAAGGAGGTTTGGTTTATAACACTTCTTTATCTGGTTCCATAAAAGATGGCTTTGTTTGTGTGCGTGTTCTCATGTATGTTGGTTGATGCCCTGCCCTGTGTCTTGAGCTTTGCATGGCCCCGTGTCCAAGGACATAAAGCAAAGCCAGGCATGGAAAGCGAACCCAGAACTGCTACTGCCTGTTCTCTGGCGGCTAAGATGCAGCATGTCGGTTATTAAACCTGTGGCTAAATGCCTTGGAAAAAATGATAGTGCTTGAAGAAAGCTACTGAGATTTGTCATGGAGCCCACAGACTGAAAACTGGAGAGGAAGCATTTTCCTTCTTGGCTGTCTCCTTTCTTGGCTCTTCTCATGCTTAAGATTGAGAATTTTCTGAGACTTCCTAAAAGTTAAACTGTGAAAGTAGAGCCAGGCATTTCAGGCTCACTGTTTGAGTCCTTGGGAAGTGTGGACTGCTAAAGCCTTTCAAGTCAAATTGAGCCCGAAAGCTCTGGTGGCCAGGAAAACCTGCGTGTTACGTACAATGGCAAAACTTTCGTTCTCAGGGGATATGCCAGTAATTACATTTCTAATTGTTTCTCCCCCAGCCTGTGAATATTCTGTACCTCTCATTCTCTTCTGCATTCTTAATTATGAGGATTTCAGACACCTCCTCCACACCAAAGGGGGCTATTTTTTCTTTTTTTGGAAGCTAAAATCATATTTTATTTTATTCTTAAATAACCGCAGTCGCTTGCTAATGGGACACGTGTACGTGGACACTGCACAACTTTCCAAACCTTGAAGTTAGGTTGGACGTCGCCACCCTCATTGCTCATTGCACACTGACTTCCCTGGGGTGCTTGCTTTTTATCAGGGCAACCTCCGAAAACCCCGCTTTGAAAGGAATGAAGTGTAATCTCGTGTTGAAACTGAGCTGCCTTGAACTAGTAGTTCATGAGGTGTCTATCAGATGTCCAGTATCCAACACTGTGTTGTCCCCCAAATTTTAAAATAGCTCATGATGCTTGAGTTTGCTGCAGTACGTGGTGCCCCACATCAAAGAAAGCGTCTTGTTAAACAGACACCAGGGTAAGGGGGCTGTCTCTTGTTTGCTTTACATGTATGCAGAGTTGGTCTTGAGGGCCGTAGGTCAAGTCTAAGACACGTTAGAAAGAAGTGGCAGCGATGACTCAGAACTCAGGAACGTGTGCCTGTGTATGAAGCCATTAGAGCGGAGAGGAGGAGCTCTGAAGAATGAGAAGGACTTGGATGTGGGAACATTTATGGGAAGGGCATTGGCAAGGGAAATAGTCATGAGAGTGTGCCATCCTGGGAACAGTGAGTAGTTCTTTTGACTGGAGCAAATATCTTGAAGGCGAAGAATAGCAGATATAATTAGGAAGATCTATTTGGAGTGATTTGCCAGCTAACAAGTTTGGAATTTCTTCCATAACTAGTGGGCAAAGACTGAAGGCTTTTTTAGGAAGAAAATGGCCTAGTCCAAACACCGCGTATAGATCAGTTAGTGGAGGGCATGTTAGTGGTACGCCATCAGTTAGGAGGCTGATCCTGGAATTCTAGGCAAGAAGTAGTGAAATCTGACCTGGGGTATGGCAGTAGGGATGGAGAGGAGGGCACAGTTGTTAGCAATATTTTGGAGGCATAAAAGACAGGAGTTGGCAATTGATTGGCTATTGGAGCAAAGGGAAATGAAGCTTCAAAGATCACCGAGGTTTTGAACCATCTATGTCTGGGCAACGGGCCTTGATATGTGGAGAATGGGCAGATTTTGGCGGGAGCCTGTCTATGGTTAATCAAATTGAATTTTATTTGCAAGTTACATGCAGTGGTTTAAAGTGAAGTTGAAAATATGTAAGCTTGGATTCATGCAAGCTGGCAGGACTGGAGTTATGGAATAGAGAAGTGTCCCCATTAGTGTTAGTAACTGATGTCATGAGGTTGGCTCAATTGCTAAGGGAGATGGGGTAGAGGAACAGGAAAGGCAGAGAGAACACCTTCGTTTGGAGTTGGGAGAAGGAAAAGGAGCAGAATAGGACAAGAAGCAATTTTACTTAAACAAGAAGGTGAGAGTGTCCAACAGGAAGGCCAGGTTCAGTAGTGTGGCAAACGACGGAGAGCTCAGAGAGGATACGGATAAGAAGGAACGAGTGGGTGACCAATGTTCCATACCTCTTTTCCAGTGGAAGTAAGTTTTGCCTTGCTTTTGCGTCTCATTTTAGGTTACCACTATAATGACCTTGTGTCCCCCCAGTACCTGAATCTGATCGCTAACCTCTCTGGCTGCACGGCCCACCGGCGAGTGAATAACTGCTCAGATATGTGCTTTCACCAGAAATACAGGACCCACGATGGAACGTGCAACAATCTGCAGCATCCTATGTGGGGGGCCTCTCTGACTGCTTTTGAACGCTTATTGAAGTCTGTGTATGAAAATGGATTCAACACCCCTCGAGGTATTAATCCAAACCGACTCTACAATGGGTACGTGCTCCCTATGCCCCGCTTGGTATCGACGTCCCTAATAGGGACGGAAACCATCACCCCTGACGAGCAGTTCACCCACATGACCATGCAGTGGGGCCAGTTCCTCGACCACGACCTGGACTCCACGGTGGTGGCCCTGAGCCAGGCCCGCTTTTCCGACGGGCAGCACTGTAGTTCCGTCTGCAGTAACGATCCTCCCTGCTTCTCGGTCATGATTCCGCCCAACGACCCCAGAGTCAGAAACGGTGCCCGCTGCATGTTCTTTGTGCGATCCAGCCCCGTCTGTGGCAGCGGCATGACGTCCCTCCTCATGAACTCCGTCTACCCCCGAGAACAGATCAACCAGCTCACTTCGTATATAGATGCGTCCAATGTGTATGGCAGCACGGATCATGAGGCACGAGAAATCCGAGATCTGGCCAGCCACCGGGGGCTTTTGAAACAGGGCATCGTGCAGAGATCTGGAAAGCCACTGCTTCCTTTTGCAACGGGGCCGCCGACTGAATGCATGAGAGATGAAAATGAAAGTCCAATTCCTTGTTTCTTAGCCGGGGACCATCGGGCCAATGAGCAGCTGGGCCTGACCAGCATGCACACGCTGTGGTTTAGGGAGCATAACCGCATCGCCACGGAGCTACTCAAGCTGAATCCCCACTGGGATGGAGACACCATCTATTACGAGACAAGGAAAATCGTGGGTGCGGAGATTCAGCACATCACCTATCAGCACTGGCTTCCTAAGATCCTTGGGGAGGTGGGCATGAAGATGCTGGGGGAATATAAAGGCTACGACCCCGGCGTTAATGCTGGAATCTTCAATGCCTTCGCGACGGCAGCTTTTAGGTTTGGCCACACGCTTGTCAATCCAATCCTCTACCGACTCGATGAGCATTTTAAGCCTATTCCCCAAGGCCACATACCTCTTCACAAAGCCTTTTTCTCTCCCTTCCGAATCGTGAACGAGGGGGGCATCGACCCGCTTCTCAGAGGCCTGTTTGGGGTTGCGGGGAAGATGCGCGTGCCCTCCCAGCTGCTGAACACAGAGCTCACGGAGAGGCTCTTTTCCATGGCCCACACGGTGGCCCTGGACCTGGCCGCCATCAACATCCAGAGAGGCCGGGACCACGGGATCCCTCCCTATCACGACTACCGGGTGTACTGTAACCTGTCGTCAGCGTACACGTTCGAAGATCTGAAAAATGAAATCAAAAATCCTGAAATCCGAGAGAAGCTGAAAAGGTGAGTTTTAAAGAAGTCATGACTTCAAATCTTTATTTTGTAAACGACAGGTTAAAAAGAAGACACTCAAATTGTAGGTATTTTGTTGGGATCATTTGTCTTTACAGTCGAGTTTTGGTGACTGTAAAGACAAATAATATGACCCTGGGTGTTGTAAACTGTTAGGCGCTTGACTACCGTGACTACTAGCCAAAAGATTGATGGTTCAGCTCACCCAGAGGCGCCTCAGGAGATGGGTCTAGAGATCTGCTTCCATAAGGTCACAGCTTTGAAAACCCTTTGGAGCAGTTCTACTCTACACATATGGGCTCACCAAGAGTTGGAATTGACTCGACCACAACCAGCAACAGCTACACATAGTCAAGTTTTTGTTTGTGTAATAAAGAAGTTAAGGAGCCCTGGTGGCGCAGTGCTTAAGTACTCGGCTGCTAACCGCTCTGCAGGAGAAAGATATGGCAGTGTGCTTTACAGCCTTGGAAACCCTCTGGGGCAGTTCTACCCTTTCCTATGGGGTCGCTATGAATTATTTGAATGGAAAAACACCAGAACTGAAACTATTTTTTGGGCTTCAGGGAAGAGGTTCCTACTCATATCAGGAGTAGAGGGAGAAAGAGCTAGAACTTGGTGTTGGCAGAGTAGAACCAAAACCAAACCCACTGCCGTCGAGTAGATTCCAACTCATGGCAACTCCATAAGATTTCCAAGGCTATAAAGCAGACTGCCACATCTTTCTCCCGTGGAGCTGCTGGTGGTTTCGAACAGCTGACCTTTCTGTTGGTAGTCAATCACTTTAACCACTGCGCCGCCAGGGCTCCTTGGCAGAGTAGGGTCCTTGGACAAACCAACTGTGATGGCTTTGGCTGGTAACTTATCCCTGGATTCACCGTGTCACTCCAAGTCCAGGCCATTCTAGCCACATCCTCCGTGATTGCCATTGACTGTACCTCAATAAATCTTTTGTACAGTCTTCTGAGCAGTAACATTTCCATTCTGGGAGTAAATCTCATTGGCCTACAATTTTAGGTCTCAATGGAAAACAGAGTCAGAAAGCCGTTTGGTAGGTTTCCATTCCTAAGAAGATGAAAAACGCCTTAGGTGAATTAGATCTGAAAGGAACCCTCACAATCCCCTCCTGCGACCCCTTCATTTTACAGGTAAAAAGCAAAGACCACAGCACGATGCAGTTCATTAGTAAGTACTAGAGCTGGGGTTAGGATCGGGGTTTCCAGGCTTAAACTCACTCCGTTTCCCCTGGAACTGCTGAGACAATCTGGTTACTCATTATATTTTTAAAGTTCCCCAAAGTGTAGAGATTCAGCAGCTCTTCTTGCTTTAAATGCCTGTTCCTGTCTGTCCTTTGCTCATTAACTTCTTTTTTCATGCTATTTATACCAGTTTCTTTGGGTGCAGTCTTTTATGGAAATAAAAATAATTACTCATTAGAGTTTTTACCGTAATGATCCTTCATAGTCCATGCACTTAATTAGTTCTGTCATTCATTTTATACTTAAATATGTTAATTCTCATTTGAAAAGAAATGCTTAAAAAATTCTGCTTTAGACTAGCTTAGCATATTTTCTGAATCCTTGCCAATTTACTGGCACTGAAGTTAGAACCATGTTTTCTAGACAAAAATGATTTTTCACTTATAATTTTTGCAAGCTATGAATAAATGAACATTATGCCCTACTAAGTTTAATATATTTCAATATTCATTGAAATAATAATATTAAATCACTGGCCTATGTAAATATACACATATTCTACCAGTTCAACCTGTTTTTCTGCCTTTTTGATCACAATTTTTACTTAATTAGGATTTATGTGAACAGTCTTTATTTTTTATGCACTTAAATATACTCCTTTGTTCTTGTCCAGACTGAGATGGATTACTTTTTCCAGTCATTCTTCTCATCTGCCAAACTTATTTTGAAAAAGTTCAAAGGAGTTAGCAATCCAACTTTATGTCCCTGGCAGACTCAGGAGCTATGCTGAGTTATTTGTTATACACCCTGGTACAGAAATTAAATATTATTTTCCCACATATTATATCACTAATTTATTTTTTTCTTTGTCAACCCATTATTCATTAGGGGAGGTTGTCAGTTGGGGAAATCAGACACAAATACATGAAAAATTAAATGATGATAAAAGACAACTCTAAGAATTTCAAAGGAAAGAGGGGTTTCTTTTTTTAACAGATCTCAGTGAAGTGTGTCATTATCATCTATTTTACTGGGACCCAATTATTTTATTCTTATTTATTTATTTTTTATTTCAAGGCAACAAGGTGAATGGAAAGTGAATAGGATTTTACTTGGGTTTGAGCCAGCTATGTCTCTTCCTGGCTGTGTTAACTTTTGCAAGCTACGTAACCTCTTTTTCCACTAATATATGTAACCAAACTTAATGTGGTTATATATGTAACCACACTTAATATCAGCTTGTATAGCCAGACTTCCAATCTTTTTTTCCACTAATCCATGAACACAAATATGAAAATAGCACATTGGACTAAAGTGGAGACTTTAAACTTGGTTTGGTTTTTAATCCCTGACATACCTAAAGAATCTGCTCATTCCAATCCTGTAATGATGGATCACTTCTGGAATTGGGGATAGAGTGAGCAGAAAGAGAAGGAACTTCCTGCCCCAGGAACAAGAGTTCTGCTTTGTTTTTGTAAAGGCCCCGGGTGAGCCTCATACACCTGCTCCTCACTCTACCTTAGTCACTGCACCAGATGACCTTCAGGATCCTTTCTAACTATGTCTGAATCACAACAGATACCTTATAGCTGGAAGTTCAGTATTAATGTTATTGAACATAGCACAACAGTGTATCTTTCTCTTAAATTTTAATTCCAAAAACTAAATGTTACTGTTTTTTTAATAAAGCATTTTCAAGAATTTTATTTTTTGTCACATCATAAAATCCTCTTTTAAGTTACATAAAAGATGGAATGCTAAAACCAAGACTTAAAGCTTTATCAGGAGGATACCTTTATGTAAAATGCCAGCTTAATAAGATTGAAATATTTTGCTCCAGCAGGGCTCTTATACGAAAATTTATGTTGAAAACAGCTTATGCTGAACGAATTTGCAATATATGAATATAAACAGAATATAACCAAAAAACCCAATGCAGTCTAGTCAATTCTGACTCACAGTAACCCTATAGGACAGAGTAGAATAGCCCCATAGGGTTCCCAGAATGTATATGTGGATATAAATGTATTTTTGGCAATTTATCAAAATTATAATTCCATGATACCATAAATATAAGAAATGGCATAACTTTTTTTTAAATGTTACTTTTTTAAAAAACTCTTTTTATTCTACTCATACAAGGAATGTCCGCTGAGGGCGTGTAAGCTTTGTACACCTTGTTAGTTAAGGAGCAGACTTTCTGTCTTGATTACAGCTGTTAGCCCATATCGCTAATTTGAGCTTCGTGAAAAAAGGGCAGCCTGAATTATGGAATATATTTTATAAAAACATGGTGGCACTTTGAATAGCTATTAAAACTAAGCCACCTGTTGCCTAGGGGAGTACTGTGGATATCATACAAGATTAGATAAAAATGATTTATAATAGAAGTTGTCGGTTTTTTCTAAGGGTGTATTTCTAAGGAGTTGGAAGAATTTGATGAATATGTTTGTTCTTAAACATTTCAACTTTGTTATCTTAGTCTTTTGTACTATCTTTGCTTAGTAAAGATTTTCTTTATAGCCAGTATATTTTCAATATGTAGTAGAATCTCAATTTTATTCTTTAAAAAATAAGTGTCTGTAGCTTTATATAATTTATGTGTTCATATAAGCCAAAATAAAACAAAACCAGACAAACCCATTGCCACTGAGTTGATTCTGACTCATGTGACCCCATACGACAGAGTAGACTGCCCCATAGGGTTTCCAAGGCTGTACGGAAGCAGACTGCTTCATTTTTCTCCCATGGAGCAGCTGGTGGATTCGAACCACTGACCTTTCAGTTAGCAGTCTAGTACTTTAACCACTGCTCTACTAGGGCTCCTTGCGTTCATATATTAGTGGAAAAAATATGGGAAGGCTGTACACACTGGTATTAAGTGCAGTTACATATGTTAGTGGAAAAAAGATTGGAAGGCTGTACACGCCTTCCAGTAACCAAGTGTGGTTATTCTGAATAGTAGGAAATGTGTGGTTTTAATTTTCTTCCTTATATATTTCCTGGATTTTCTAAACTTATCATAATAAATATGTTTTATATAATACACACACACAGATACATTTATAAATAAACAAATTGGAAAGTAGGAAAAATTCTTTAAAGTACAATGAACAGATAATTTAAAGAAATAAAGATGGATTTTCTTCGGGAGGTAAAGATCTGAATAATACAAAAGAGTGATAGAAAAAATGAGTTTTTCTTACTTGCTTTTTGATTAGATAGAGCTCTGTCCAGCATGTTTTAAAGGTTTTGTTTTGATTTTTGTTTTTTTTTTTTGTAGGTTGTATGGCTCACCATTAAACATAGATTTATTTCCTGCCCTCATGGTGGAAGATTTGGTTCCTGGTAGCCGGCTTGGGCCCACGCTCATGTGCCTGCTGAGCACACAGTTCAAACGCTTGCGAGATGGGGACAGGTAAGCACACACGTGACAGAGAAGACAGTCCTTCTTGGGGACTTGGGAGAGAGGAATAATTTGGTGGTGGTACCGCATCCATGCTAAGTATGAGGAAAATGCCTTATCTCTGTAGTATTTCTTGTGAATAACTGATTTTTTGTGATTAACTGATTTGGGCTTGCCTGACAGCACATTAGAACTTTTGTTTAATATTTGTGTTCCTGAAAACCAATACAGTTACACCATTGTAAGAGTTTAGAGGAATTTGACCTTATAGCAAGATTTTAAAGCTTCAATTTTAGTTTAAAGTACTGGAAAAGCAGATGGCAGGCCTTTCGTAGAGACAGTCCCAGTAATTCAGTAGATAGCTTACGTGCATGTCAGGTTTTAAAAAAGTAGTCTATTCCCGTTAGTAGTTAGTTAGTCAGAATAGCCAGCCATTTACTGTTTTTAGTCCAGATTTTTTTCTTATAAGTAAGAAGTAAGAGCAGTGTTTGAGTGATTTCTGTATTGTTGGTGAAACTTAGAGGAATATTTTAATTCAGCTACCTATGGTCTTTGAGTCTCCTTGTTTCTCATTTGGTTCTGTTTTCTTTTGGGGGAAATACAGGTTATGGTATGAAAACCCTGGGGTGCTCTCCCCTGCTCAGTTAACACAAATCAAGCAGACATCCCTGGCCAGGATACTGTGCGACAATTCTGACAACATCACCCGCGTACAAAAGGATGTGTTCAGAGTGGCGGAGTTCCCACATGGATATAGTAACTGTGATGAAATTCCTAAAGTTGATTTAAGGATGTGGCAGGATTGCTGTGAAGGTTTGTATTGGAAAAGATGCATTGCTTCTCACTTTTGATTTTGTTTTCTTTTTCATTTTTGATTTTATCAGATTTGGTGAATTTTTTTTTTACTGATGTAATTAAATGAAGTTTACATTTAAAGTTAGTCTCCCATACAGAATTTTTTTTTTTTTAAACATACATTGTTATGAGACCCCAACCGCTCACCCCATTCTGCGACAGCACACTCCTCCCCTCCGCTCCTGATTCCCCATGAACATTCAACCAGCTCCTAACTCTCTCTGCCTTCCCCTCTAACCTCTGGACAGAAGCCGCCCCTTTGGTCTCTTATATCTGCTTGTCTAAGAGGCACATTCT